ATTCATTAGTTCTCCTTTCCCCAAACTACATGATAGTTCCCCAGGGCTCAGTTCTCTGAACTCTTTTCTATTTATACTCACTCTCTTGGTAATTTTATCCAGTCCTGTGGCTTTATAGCAGCAACTATATCCTAATGACTGCCAAATTTATATCTCTAGCGTATACAACTGTTCTGAACTTGACACATACTCATCTGTGTATCTGACAGTTCTCCTTGGCTGTCTAATAACTCAAGTTGATACATGCAGCTCTTCTTAATTCAAACTGCATAGTTTATCCAATCTATCGATGGGTATTCCAGTTATTCACTTAACAATTTTTTTTAATTGATTTGAGAGACAGTGAGAGAAACAGCGATGTGTTGCTCCACTCTTCCATGCACTCACTGGTTGCTGCTTATATGTGCCCTGACCCGGGACTGAACTCACAACCTTGACGTATCAGGATGACACTCTAACCAACTGAGCCACCCTGCTGGGCACAGGATAACTACACTTTAAACCATCCTACATAATGAATAATTGTCCTTGCTTCTAAAAGCATACAAGATTCCACAACTTCTTGTGGAAATATTTTTCAGCTTAAGCACTTATTTAGATCATTTTTCTTTAGCTTTACAAATCCCGGACTCTAGGCTTCTATTTGCTATACCAGCTTCTTAACTAGCATCTTTGCCTTTAGTCTTCCTCCGTGACATGCTACATACCCAAGCTGTCCAGACTTGAAAGTCTAAGATATATAGCCCAGTTTCCTATTCCTCAGGTTAAAAAACAACAACTATTGGGGGATATATTAGTTTTCTAATGCAGCTATAACAAAGTAGCACAGACTGCATGGTTTAGAACAAAAGAAATTAATATTGTCTCACAGTTCTAAAGGCCAGAGGTCCAAAACCAAGGTGTCAGCAGGCCCATGCTCCCTCTAATGGTACTAGATCTGTTCTAGGCCCCTCTTAGCTTCTGGTAGCCCCAGGAATTCCTTGAATTGTAGATCCAGTACTACATTCTCCCATCTTCACATGCCTTCCTTTTATTCGTATCTGCCTGTTTCCAAATTTTCCCTTCTTATAAAGACACCAGCCATACTGGATTAGGGCCCATCCTACTGATTTAATTTTAAATTGACTACCTCTGTAAAGACCCTATTTCCAAATAAGGTCACATTCTGAGGTGCTGGGGTTAGGACTTAAACGTATGTTCTTGGGGGGGACACAGTTCAGCCCACAAACAGGAGGAAAAAACTTGTTTCCCTCCTTTCCATCTCCTACTTCTCCCAGAAACAACTATAACCACTTTCTTATGTTCTTCCAGAAATATTTTATGTATTTACAAGCATGATACAAATAACTGCCACTGTAACATCCAGTCCCATGTGTTCTATATAAAATATCTTTTGCATCTTGATCTTTTCCATTCAATGTATCGTGTAGCTGATTCAGTATCAGTACATGAGTACTACCAAATTCTTTTTAAGGCATAGTTTTCCATCCCTTAAACTGTGCTGTAAATTGACCCAGGCCTAATTATAAACATTGAAGTTGTTTTTAGTCTCTTGCTTTTATAAATAAAATTGCAATTAATATGCTTACATACGTAACTTTTCCTAATGTGCAAATTTATCTATAGGATGAATTCCTTTAAATGGACATTCTAGGTCAAAGAACATGTACATTTTTAAATTTGACAAATAGTGTGTCCCTGTTTATAAAAACCTTTCTTAACTTTTACTATATACAATCCCAATTTATTAAACTTCTTCCCAGCATCCAAGCATCCTTCTATTTGGGGTAATCCTCCACTGTGAGAATCTGGGCAGGGGCAATGCCCTCCAACTACAGAAGCTGACAGGGCCAGACACTTGTCTTCTGTCCCTGGCAACAAACACAATGCCAACCAGGACTTTGTGGTCACTCAAAGACATGGGGGCAATAAAGAAATCGGTCTAACAGCAACAGAGGAATCATAACATCCTATGTAAACCACTCCTAGTTGCTAATCTTTTTATTAGCCTGGTTTATTACAGCTTTCTGGTCTATTTGCATAGGCTCCTAATAATTTTTCTGTTTAAATTAGCCACATTTGGATTTATTTACAACCAGATCTTGGGCTGATCATTTTGGTCATACTTTTATGAACATAAATTGCTGCACTATCCTCAAATTTGCACCATACACTATAAAGGCTTAGACTGCTGTATTTTTGGGTAATACACATTTGTTGTTGTCATAATTTAATCGGCTATTTACTGCTACTATTGATATGCTAGACACAATTCCTTTTTCCTTTTCTAACCTGTTGCATGCCTAGAAACTAGACGCTCGGGTACACCAGACCTGTTTGTAAAGAAGTAGAGACATGCAATGAAGGCCTGAAGGTCCTATGAAAAAAATGCAGATTTCACCACAACTATTTTAACTGCTCAGTGGATTTTTAAATTTCAGGCTCCTCAGATATGTTCCATGAGGTGAGTTAATGTTGTATTTGTAGCTTCTCCTTTCCCCTATAAAAAGAAGTAATCACTACTATTGGTAATAATTAACAATTTACTGTGCCAGTTCCTAGGCCCTGTTGTTCTGAGTATATTAGTGATTCATATAATCTTCAAAATAATTTTTAAAAACCCTAAGAATTAGTTAGCTTGCATACACTTTTATTTAGCCTTCTTATCCCCAGGTTACATGTTTTATCTTCTTAAAATTATGTTAAAACAAACCCCCCCCCCCAAAATTGTTAAAAATCAGTGAACAATACTAGCTTCACTGCTCTCCCAAAATGTTTTCTGACTTCTCAGCTAAAATTATGAACTCCTCCATGTTACATAGTGGTTTTATTTATGTATCTATGAACAGACAGGGAGAGATGCTAGCAACAATGTTTCTGTTTCAGCTTCTTTAGCAAGAGATGGTAGTAATTCTTAGAATTCTCATAAGAAATTTGCCTAGAATTCAATTACTATATATTAGCCACAGAAGATGGTAGCAGATGTAGATTCACCCATTCTAGAAATACTTTTAAAATGGGATTTGCTTGAGAGTTAGCTTATACTGGTAGTGCTACTATGTGAAATCCTGCAGATAAACCAAATGCTATCTAAGTATCTATCTCTCTGAACAATAAGTAATCACACTTGTCTTTTTCTAAAAGTAAAGGACTATAAATTATGGTCATCTGTGCATAATCTCTCTTTAAGAATACTGGCAAAGATCCTAACATATCTCAAAATGCATAATCTACAAAGATTTAAACAAGCTTATTTGAAAAGTAATATCTGACAAACTGATCTGAGGGAGGAGGAAACCCACTGGGATCCTATCTTAATGAACACATATTAAAAACGACAGAATCTAGCAGATGACCACTAACTCTAGTCTTTAGGGATATTTTAAAAAATGGCTCACATATGGGCGGAAAATGTCTATGCCTTTCTTTAAATTTTCTCTACATCAAGAAATAAAACAATTCTAGTAACCCTACAATTAAACTCAAATAGAATTAAGAAATGTTGGCTTGCTGAACATTATGAATTTCACTTTTTAAAAGTCTAACATAATCTCTTTTTCTCACCTTCTATTTTCTCAGAGCTATACTGACTGGTATTACAGAATGTGACAGCTGACTCTTGGAAAGCCGTTTAGTCTAATCCCCTTCGTTTTACATATGAGGAAATAGGTCCAGAGAGGTTAAGCATCTTGTCTGCCCCATCAGGAGATGCTTGGCCTCCTGCATCTTATTTGAGTACATCATCCATAATACCAGGCTGACCACAGCGGTGCCTACAGGAAAACACAAAGCACAGAATCTTCTCCACATTTTGTTGGTATGTTATCAGAGCACTTGGTTTCATGAAAGTTAAGATTACAAGTCTGCAAGCATAACTTTAAAAGGAGTTCAAGGGCGGCTCCCTCTTTGAAGCATGCCTTTCCCTCCCCCCTCCCCCAGCTGACTTTTCCTTGCCTCCATCTTTCTCCTGTGCTTGTCCAAGGGCCCTTCTTTTGCCTCTGTAACTTGTTTCCCGAGCCCATTTCTTCTCCCGCTCACTTTTTCTACCTCTGTGACTTTCTAAATAAACTTTCTCTTATAAAATAAATAAATAAAGTAAAAGGGAACTCAAGTATAATTTCTAAGATCAGCCCATGCATGAGAATACCCTGACTGCTTACTGGAATAGATAAATGTCTAGAATAGAATGAGTGCTGCTGAGATTTGCAGCAGAGAAATTTGGGAACTTCCTGTGCTATCCATTGAAATTTTAACATTGAAAACCCCATAGTAAAAAGAACTTGCTTCTTTCCAGCTGCTGGTAGATGGCAAGGCTTAAAAATCACAGCTCACTATCTCAATGACACTAAGCATTACTTTACCTTTCAGTGAAACTATTTCCTTCTCTCTAAAGTAGGATAATAAAAACCCCTACACCTCATATGCAGTCATGAATATTATGTACATAACATATGTAGAGAACCCAGGGCAGTAGCTGGTACAAAGGTCTCAGTACATTTCAGTGTCCATTCCAAGTGAACCTTTTACTTGCATACTATAACAAATTCAGTATTTCTGAGAGGGTCCAAAAAAGAAAAATTACTTTTTCAGTCTACCATGAAGGATGAAGGGGAAACCAAGTGAAAGTGTTGAAAAGAACACTGGGCTTAGTGGTGACAAAGTTTAGTAACTAATTAGCATAGCTTTTCTCACCTTGTTTTTAAAGTCATATAATGGTACTGAAGTTCAAGTATAAATCTGTAAATACAAATTGAAAACTGAGAGTTGATAAGTATGCTATAAGAAATTACTCCTAATCCAAGCAGAGGCAGCAGAAATTCCTTAAAATGTGCTGGGTCCTTGCCCTACTAAATATTTGCCAGAAGCTCTAACAATGTACTTTCTTACTCTTTTTATGTTCATGTTCTCAGTGTAAGTCAAACAATAATAAGACCAACAAGATTCTCATTTGTTGCCATTACTTTAAAAAAAAAGTTCTCATTAATGGTTTTAGTCAAGAATGAGAATACAATAACATAGAAAACCTAGATTTATTTGTTAAGCTATTACAAAGACAAAACAGTATCATGTGAAGTACTTTGAGGGCTTCATCCCAATTTCATGTGTTCTGTTACAGAAACTGAACTAAGGCTAGAAATTAAAAGCTATAACATAACCTAAAAGGCTATAACAGAGCAGACTGGTGAAACATGGTGAAAGGAGCAAAAGCTAGTCAGATGAAGCACTTGTGTTAGTATATGTGGCTGGGATGTTTCCAAAGAGGTTCCCTAGAGATGCCTGAATGAATTAATTCGGGTACCAATTAGTAAAAAGATCTTTACCCCTGTGGAGAATGAGCAGAGGCCAGGATTCATCTGAGATCTTTGTCTTTCCCGGGTAAGGGTATCCTTAGGCTCTAAAGGGGTATATCTTAGATTCAGCCTCTCCCCCATCCAGTCTACCAACACCTAAGTGCCTGTGCATTTTCACCACATAGCCCTGCTAGCTTATAGAAGATGCATACACTGAAGGCAGGAATTATAGGCCTACTCAGAGGGTTCCTAGACACAGAAAGTTCGGGGATAAATGATAAACTACAAACACCCTCTTGGTTAAGTTAATTCACCTTTGTTAATCAAGTTCATAGTTTCTTCTGCTGGTGAGAACTTGTTGTCTCAGTACAGTCTGTCTCAGGAAAGAACTGGTTCAGGTAAGTTTTGGAGAAGGAAAAATACTTTCATCAACACCCACTGCACAGTGGAAAAGGCACCAAGTTCTCTCCTACAGTTATGCGCAGAATCTGAAAAACAAAAGGTGTACAATGTTTGTAATAATAATAATAGCTGTTATTTATTAAATGCCTAATCGAGTGCCACCAGACTTAGATATTATTACATCTCAGTCTTTGCAACAATGCTGCCATCAAACCCTTCTTTCAGATGAGGAAACGGAGGATTAGAGAAGTTCTATGCCTTGTCCAAAGATTCAGAGCCAAGTACATGGTTGAGCTGTGATTCCACCATTCCGGTGCCCCTCCTTCCCCTCATCTCATGCCTTGAGAGGTCCTACGTTCGGTTACTTTGAAATTTTAATTGTTACATAAACACTCTAATTAATCCTGTTCATTCCTTAAAGGCAAATACAATTTTAAATTATTAAAATTTACAGATATTGTTTGGAATTTAGGTCAATTATCCAGATGAAGAACTTGCATAAACTTCTATGAATAAATGCCTCTCTGCTCCAACTGTAGCATAAAATGAACAGAAAACAAATCACCTCATTAGAAAGTCTGTGGCTATTTTACGGTTATTTCACCATAAAACTACATTACAGAGAATCCTAAGAATTCTCGCCAGGGAACTGCAGTGATGCCCCATTTGTGCAACTATCAGTGACAGACCAAATGAGTTTCTCATAATCCTTATTAATAGAGTGGTTAGTGTTCTCTGAATAGTCTATTTTTCAAGAAAATATGTGAAAGCCAGATGATCAAAAAAATCTGTTTCCCAGTTTCAATAAAAGATACAAAATAAGTATTACTGAGCTGAAAAACCAACATGCTATAAAGAACAAGACATAAGAGAAGACTTAAATTTGTACCCAGAGTTCCCATGAAATAAAATACTGAAGTACTGACATCTGAAACTACAAGGTCTGAACATTAAAGTTAACAGAGCTCCAGCGGTATGAATACAATTCTTTAGCTAACTGCAGAGAAGACACGGCCAATTTTAGACTGTATGGCTACCAATGACAGAAATAAAGGTTGTAGAAATAAAAATCAAGTATTTAAAGAAAAAGAAGAACTCTAAGAAAACATTTTCTGATAGTTCAACTGGCAGCACCTGAGATGAAAGCAGAGATCCATTATTACAATTCATGTTTAGTATCAGAAGCAAATTTATATTCATAATGGCAATAATTTGAAAGGTAAATGGAACTTGGAATAACGGATCTCACAACCTAATGAGATGCCTGACAATGGTAGAAGAGTCAAGCCAAAACACATAAATCTTGCCATGCTATTACTACCTGCTTGAATAAAATGAAGGACCTGGATATAAGTAGCACCTCAAAGGCTGGAAGAAAGCTAGTATTCGAGAAAATGTTATCAGGTAAGCAGTAGGAGGACACTACAGAGGAGAAAGAGGGATAGTAATCTAACAATGTGAAAATCTTACAGCTTATATAGAAGGGTTGCTAGGATTATTAGTCTTAGCTCTGAATGATATGAACTAGTTACATGACCCTTAGTTATTATCTAACATACAGCTGAGACATTCAAGCTGGCACAGTATAACAGATTTCTCAGAGTAACATGCAGCAAACAGGCAGGGACAAACTGAAGGTGAAGCTCATGAGAAGATCAGATGAGAGAAAATTGGCAGTGAGCTCTTGAATCAGTCAGGAAAACCAGGTATGAAGCAACTGGGAAAATGATAGCTTTTGGACAACTATACATGGACTCGTTATGGTTTGGCAAATCAGCCTGGAATAGTAAGGTGCCCAGGACTTTGGCTTGCCATTATTTTCAGAAGTAAAGAAATCAATGCAAGGTTATGATTAAAGGCTTAAACTAAGTTTGGAATTACTTCTACTTCCTTTCTGATTTGAATAGCAGTGAGTTGCAGCAAATCTCTGCTTTGTTTTTTCTGATGAACAGGTTAAGGTTTCAAACATCACAAACAGGAAAAGGTGACTCAAGAACAGACCAGGACATGATCTCAGGCTTTGCAGCTCCCACCTGAGCCAACCAGGGAGAGCTCCATTTCTGAATAAAGGACTAATGCCATTCTCCTCAGGTCACTGAAGATGGGTGTGTCTTATTCTTCCATGAACTCTCAGTGCCTGGCATGTGTTAAATGCTCAGTAAATGTTAATCAACCTGAATATCACCATGTTTGCAGACATTGATTTCTTAGAGAAAAACACACACATAATTTTCAATAATGTCAGAAATGGGTAACATTTTTACAAACTGCTCATTTTATAAAATCCACTTGAATTATGAAAATAAAAATTAAATTATTAGGCAAGATTTTCATGTTCAGTGACAAGGGAAAAATAAACTACTTACCCCAAAGCAGCATAAAATCATATTCAGTGATCAACATCTGCATCTTCAAATTGTCCAGCAACTGTGGGTGTAGTATCTACCTCCATCCCATCTGAAGAAAAAAATTAACCACTGAGCAATAGTCTACAGAGCCCTTTAGATAGGTAAAGGTTCAGCTTATATTTTGACCAGAAGGAAGCTAGTGCCCTCTGTTGGTAAGAGTTGCCATTTCTTTCTATACTGAAAATTCAAGGAACAAATTGAGAAAGAAAAATGCCACCTGTGGATTTAGGCCAAGGTAAAATGAGTTTAAACACTTAACATTTATTTTGTAAATTCTCAATCTCAACACTAACCTAATACTACCATAGGAACTTGCAAAAGCAGTTAGCATCAACTGTTCACTCTTCACAGAACTGTGCTAGGGACTTCTGTGTGACTTTTTTTTAAGTATAAAGTCCTATGCTCACAGAGCTTATGACATAATTTAGAAGAAAAGACAAAGTAGAGCAAGATTCTTGTGTTTCCTGTATATCTCACTTCATTTTTTCAAAAGGGGAGGAGGTTAGGACAAGAAAAGAAAAGCCCTCTGGAAAGAGCTGTCTACACCTCCTTTCACCACCTCCTCAGCTCCCATGTACCCCTCAGCTCCCATGTACCCCTCAGCTCTTCAGCCTACAACAGACTGGCTTCTGCCTGCTGCCCTTGGGCACTGCACCACCTGGACATCCAGCAGGGCACAAAAATGTAACATATATCTAAAATCAACTCATGGAAAATGCTTCTCTTTCCTGTCTTGCTAAAGGATACCTCTTACCTGCCCAGAAACCCTTACCACATCTCTAACATCTGTTGCTTCTATCCCAAATCTGTTAAATTTTTTGACATTCAGTGTCATTACCTAATTTGGGCCACTACCTCTCATGTAATTTAAAACTAAAATTACTTAACAGGGTTCCTCTTCTTTCCTCTAGTATGTCCCGCTGCAATTAATTTTCCATAGCATAGCCAGAGAAACACTAATCAAACTAAAAATTTTCCATGGCTTCCCACTGACCTAAGCGTAAAGTTGAAATTCTTTTATTTTTTAAGTATATTTTTATTGATTTCAGAGAGAGGAAGGGAGAGAGAAATAGAAACATCAATGATGAAAGAGTCAATGATTGGCTGCTTCCTACACCCCCCCCACTGGGGATCGAGCTCGCAACATGGCATGTGCTCTGACCAGGAATTGAACTGCAATCTTCTGGTTCATGGGTCAACTATCAACTACTGAAGCACACTGGCTGGGAAAATTGAAATTCTTTAACACAGCTTTAAGTTCCTTTAAGATACAGCCGAGTTCACTATCTACTTTATCTGTTGCTATACTTACTCTCAAGAATTCCAGACATAAAACTCCTTTCAGTTCTCAAAGCTGAATGGTCTGTTGTACCTTAGCACATGGATGACCCCTTTACCTGCCTTCTCCCCAATCTGTATGCAATCCCTCTTCACCAGGGTCACTTTTATCCATCTTTCAGATTGTGGCTTAGATGTTAGTTATTCCATGAATCTTGATTCTCTCCCAGACTATCCAGGCTGGGTAAAGGGTCCAGTCTCTGAATCCAGTTACTTAAGCTTCCCTTGTATCTCAGTGCTGTACTACAATGTACTGTAACTGCCCAATAAGCTAACTTATTTTTCTCTTTTCTAAAACTGATACCAAGATAATCTCTCTTGGGCACTGCCATAGTCTCTACCTGGCACAGTAGCGCAATAAACACCTTTTAATATAAATAAGAACATGAAGCACTGAAATGCAACTAGTAGATATATGTGTGGTTAAATGGCAAAAAGACTGAAATTACTAAAACAGACCTCAGGTGTTCTCACCACACACATACACACCAAAAGGTAACTATGTATGGAGATGGAATTTAGCTTGACTACAGTAGTCATTTCACTATGTATGTATATCAAAACATCATATTACACATCTTAAATATATACAATTTTTAAGTTTCAAAAACAGAAATCAATTTTTTCAAAAAGAAAAGGTCAAACTAACTAAATTAATGGCAAAAGAGTGCTATGAGTACCCAGGAGTTTAGAAGATGTGGAATGGTATAGGTTGAAGATGTTTTATATACAGGTAATCTTCAATAAGCTAATAAGGCTTAGGAATAAAAGTTAAAAAAAAAATCTCACTTTAGCAAAGTGTTTGAGACCATAAAATCATTTGCTACAAAGCATTAAATAAGGAATTTTACAATTAAAAAACAAAAAAGCTTTCAATGATGAAAGGCTTTTCGATGGTCAAGGGCACTCTCCAGTCAATCACTGTAATAAAAAAGGTAACAGCTTGCATTCTTTCAGCTAAGAGTTTGGCAGAGCACCAGAAATCATCTGAGCCATCTCACCCTAAAGCCTACATTAGAGGCTCACCAGCCAATGCATAAAATGGAGAGGAGACATAAGGAATAACACTGTGACCCAAAGCCTAAATTTTCCAAATTAAAATATCCCGGAACTTCAGGATCAATGTGCTGTGTGTATGGAGATATTGACCAAAGCACTATGAAACTTAAATGTACCAATAAAAAAAAAAGATGGTAACTCTCTTTAAGAATATTTTGCATCACTAAAAATGAAAAGCATTAAAATTCTGTAGCAACATAAATTATTAACATATATTAAATACATGTAAGATGCAAGAAGTGCTTATAACAGTGCCTGGTATATTATTTTTTGTATATTAGCTCATTTAATCCTCTCACCACTTATTAGCTTTGACATGAAACAAGTTATGTGACCTTTCTGTGCCTGAGTTTCTTCATCTGTAAAATGGGGATCATAATAGCATCTGCCAGAGGGTTCTTGGAAGGATTAAATGAGTAAATATTTGTCATGTGCTTAAATTAGGGGCTGGCACATAAGAGCACTATCTAAATGTTTTATTGAGGGTAACAGGAACAAGACTGGAGACATCTGGGGCAAAGACAGAGCTGTTTCCTCAGAGTCAGAGTGACAAGTTTGAACTTTATATGGTGAGTATCAGGCAACCACTTGAGCAGGTATCTTTATATAGGGGTGACATAGAGGGTTCTCAGAAGATTAATACGGCACAGTGAGCTGGAGGAAGGGATAATGGAAGCAAAAAATTTACTACTGTAAATCCAGTATGAGAAGAAAAGGGCCTAGGTTTGGAAGATAGCAAGGGTAATAGCAAGGAGATCTAAAAGTCACTTAAAAGAAAAATCCATGGAACTCAGTACTGGATTGAATAAGAGAATAAATGGTAAAGGTTGAATCAAAAAATAATACTTCAGGAATCTAACTGAGTTAGGATACTTAGAAAAGGGAACCAGTTTAATAAGGAAAACATTTACAAAGAAGCTTACAAATATGAAACAATTAAAACATAAACATTTAAAACCACTTGTATAAGGTCCAGATGTTGGTCACAAAAAAGAACCAAAGTTTCCTGAATGCTGCCTAGCCCTTTAAATCAGTTGACTATCCTAGTTTTGCATATAATCATGTAGGAATTCATTTTAAAAATAAAAATGGCAGCATAATATGTGCACACACACACACATACATACCCATAAGCAAACAACCAAAAAGACTGGAAAGAGATGCAACAGAAAATTAACAGATGTCTTCAATTAGAATTATACTTGATTTTTTACTTCTTCTTTTCCTGTGCCCACTTTTTAAATAACTGACTGTGCACATAGACTATTTTTGTATTAGGGGAAAAAAAGTTTAAAACATTTACACGAGAATTCCCATTCTATATAATTCTACATTTGCTTCCTACACTATAAGGAGTTAATTCTGAGATTTCTCTTAGTTTCCAAAAGAACCTATACATGTCTCCCCATAGATTACCTTTTTGCCTAAGTGAGTATCTAACTGATGAGAATGAAGGATACTTACCTTCATAGTCTCTTATTGAATCTTCTGTCCGGACTCCAGCCATGTTATACTGGCTGCTCACAGACTGAGAAAGCATTCCTTCTAATCTCTCCAGTGTGGCCTGGCCTTCAGCTGTTAAATGGGATAATCCTTCTTCATAGGTGTAAAATGTAGGGATGTCTCCCTGCCCTTGTTCTAAACAAATCAAAAACTTTTAAGCTATTACAACACAATGGGGGGAAAAATGAATACTCAATAACACATTTACTGAAGATAAGGTACAGTGAAAAAAGGCTTCCAGGAAAATACTTTTCAACATTCATTTAACACACACATATAGGTTATTTGTTGAAGACAGAGATAAAGAAAAATGTCCCTACCCTCTAGGATAAGAAGGGATTCCAAGATAGTTAGTAAAAAGCAATTCCCAAAGAATCGAATGTCCAGAGACTAGAAGGAAAGGGGGGTAATTCCTGAGGCTACAGAGCCTTGTATTATTCCAAGGTGGAAAATTTACTGATGAGTGCAAATTAATTTGCTAGTAATTGGTACTGGAGGTTTTTTCCTTATTAAAATACACGTTCATTTTTAAAAGATCAGAAATTCTGGAAAATACAAAAAGGATTTTTTTAAAAAAGAGAATCTCCAAAAATCTCAGCTAAGATGAAAATGTGTTTAGATATATAAAGGAAAATGCCAGAAATGAGTCTGTCTCAGGCCAAGAAATGGATACTTATGGAGGAAAGTGTTTTAGAGAGCAGGACTGGTGCACAGGAGACCATGGGGAAAACAAAAGAGAACAGCAGGCACCTCAAGTTACAAGACTCCACCAACCTACTGACTGCATTCTGGTCTTAGGAAGGAAGGGGAAATACCCTTAAATAAACACAGTCTGGTTCTGGGAAAAAGAAATAACTTTGGAAGTGAGCTGTCTAAAAGAATATGTTAAATAACAATGAAGAGAAATCAGGTTTTAAGTGATAAAGGAAGAAGGCTTGTTCCCTGGTAGCAACTGCATTAACTCTCCTGATTACCCACTTTCCTATCTACCATTTTCTTTCCTTCCATTTATCTCTATCCATTTTTTCTCCACACCACCCCAATAATCTCTACTTTTTACCATCAAGCTTGGAAAGCCCAGAAATTTTTCCAATTTGGCTTACACACAAGTTGTGCTAGTCACTTTCATTATAATATAATACATTATATAGGTACTTAATAGAGATATAAAGATCTATAATTTTATCCCCTTAGTATAAATAATTGCTTAAAATGAAACACTTACACATAAACACTTTTAAAAAATTCAATTCACTAACCATGTGCTTCCACATCATATTCTTCTCCATCATAATCATCTGAATCTTCATCCTCAGGATCTGGATGCAAAGCTTGGCATTCACACATTGCAGTGAACATTGCCTCCACTGAAGGAAATTGAATTATAATTAATATTTCTTTTTGGCCAAGGTGCAACAAAAATTTAATTAAATAACCATCAGTGCAAATAAATTTAATGAGTAAACGAGAGGTATACTAGGGTCACAATATTCACAAAAACTGCCAAATTCCAAGGAGAATCAATCTTGAAAAGTGCTTCATGGCAATGAACAAGTCACAAAACAATAAGAGTTCATTTCAAGATACTGAGATCTCTTCATGTGTGGTTGGATTTTCTGAGATAAAAAGTCAGAGAATCCTGGTCAGACTGCCAGTATCAAAGTGAAGCCCCTCATAGCTAAAAGGGCTCTTCAGTTATCCCGACATCGTCCACTTTGGAACTGCCAAGACTCCTCTGCCCTCCATCTGGTGAGATTCAGTCATAAAATATGTTTCACCATTGTAAAAATAACCAGATTCCTCCATTCACAAAACACACAAAAGAACATGGTATCTACTATACATGCACAATCACTGATATTGATAGGTATCTGGTTCTCAATATTACAGATGCTAAAATGAAGAAAAAGCAGAAGAACGGAGGCAAAGAGGGTACAAGTAAAAGTGTGTGTCAGTGGGGAAGACCTGGTACACAAGGGAAAAGAATCAGTTCTATAGGACACTCACATGCTGACTTATCACTAGGCACAAATCTAAATTCAGCGATAGGTTCAACATCATCATCACTGTCTTCCTCTTCTTCATCAGCAACAGATTCTTTTGATTCTTCTAGAAAGGGGATAAAAATAACTTTTTAATTATGTTGTTTTGAAAAAAAGCCTAAAAGACTTTCTTAAAGGATGCTTATTGATGTATCTAAATGCTGAATTCAATTTTTACTTCGTATTACAGAAGGTTATTTTAGAACTAAAAAAACTCTGGATAGCCTCTCTGGTCTAGTCACCCTGTACTTTACTAAGCCCAAGGGGTTCTAAACCCCCTCAGGGTCATGGTGGGAGTGAGGAAACTCAGTGAGGCTTCTAATAAATAGTTCCAATGCCACTTCCTCCTTTTAGCTTTCACTCTGTAACAAAGGATAGAACAGCAGTTTATAAAGCACTGATGTATTCATCATCAACAACTTACAGATGAGAAACCAAGGCCATACAAATTAATTGACCCAAAAGATAAATTAACAAAGTCTGTAAGCAAGAAAAAATACAAATGTTCAATAAACAGAATATGCACATGCTGCTGGTGGATGTGGAAATTGCTACCATCACTCTGGAGATGCTATTACCCAGCAATTCCTGGTCTAAGTACATATTGTGCAAACAAGGAGACTGTATGTAAATGTTTATTAAAGTTCTGTATGTACTAGTGAATATATAAAAAATACATGATCAAAAAAGGAAATAGATATTATAACCTGATCATATTATGTTTGCAGATAGCAGTTAAAAATGAACAAATGTGATTTATATCTATCAAAATATATACACCTGAAAGTAATACAAAATAATGTTGAATGTAAACTGTAATTGAAAAATAAAATTTAAAAAATAGTTTAAAAAGCCCTGGCCAGTATGGCTCAGTTGGAATATCGTCCTGTACACCAAAGGTGGTGGGTTCAATTCCTGCTCAGGGCACATATGGAGGACAACTGATTGATGTTTCTCTCTCACATTGATGTTTCTCTCTCTTGCTTTCTCCCTTCCTTTCTCTAAAAATCAATAAAAAGCATATCCTCCAATGAGGAAAGAAATAATAAAAAAATATATGTAACTGAGTGAAAAAGGTAGTTGCAGAATATATATAACACCACTTACATTAAAACTTTAAACAAAAAACCAAATCATTATACTGCTTACAGGTCTATATTTAGTAAAAATCTAAAAGCATAGACAGGAAGAATACATGCCATCTTTAGGATAACATATAATTCCAGAGACAGAGAGTAGGGAATGAAATGGGAAAGGACACAAAAAGGATTCCAACAGTATTGATGTACTTTTATTTATTTGAAAGACCAGAGTAATTATGGAAAATGTTATAATTTATGCTAGATATTGAATAATGAAAATTTTTTATTACTCTGTGCACTTTTCAATGTTTTAATTACTTCATAAGAAAAAAAAGTCAACAAAATACTTAAATAGACTCCCAAAACATTAAAACATGTTTAAAACTAATAATCTTCTCCATACAGATGAAGATAGTAGTGGCTGCTATTTACTACTATCCAAAGTGTAAATTGATATACATTCTGGAAAGCAATTTGACAATATATGTTAAGAGCTTTAAAAATGCTTATTACCTTTAATTCAACAATTCTACTCATAGGAATCAATTATAGGGAGATATCCACTAAATCTTTTTTTTATAGTTTTTTTTTTTATAAGTCATACAAGCTCACTGTAGAATGAAAAAAATAGGTAAGTAAAAAGGAAAAAAATTTTAAATGGCCACTATTAGCAGTTTTAAATAACCGATTTTAAAGGACTTTATCTGTCCTGTTTCTGTTATTATATTGTTAAATATAATACACATGTCCTCCATAAACACGTTAAAACAATACAAAATATTGGAGAACTTTAAGTAATTCTAAATAGTTGAATATACTATAGTACTACCAAACATTTCAATGCATTTTAAAAAACAAAATGAGCCCTGGCTGGTGTGGCTCGGTTCGTTGGAGCGTCGTCCAGTACACAGAACGGTGGTGGATTCCATTGACGGTTGGGACACATACCGGGGCTGCGGGTTCAATCCCCGGTCAGGGCGCGTGCAGGAGGCTGCCGATCGATGTTTCTTCTCACATCGATGTTTCTCTCTCTCTTTCTCTCTCTCCCTCCTCTCTCTAAAATAAATAAAAAGCATATCCTCAAGTGAGGAAAAAAACTGGTACCATACTGTAATTATTATTCTATAACTGAATGAACATCATTTTTTAACTTACATAAACAATACATGCTGTTAAAAAAAATAATTGAAAGAGTCTATCTAAAAGGACTCAAAGGAAAAAGTCCCTACAACCCTAGTTCTCTCCCTAGAAATAACCACTATTAAGTTTCTTTTATACAGGGGTGGGCAAAAGTAGGTTTACAGTTATAATACAAATATATACAATAAAAAATTAATAAATAGCTATACAAGAATAAACTCCATATTTCACATACTCACAACTGTAAACCTACTTTTGCCCACCCCTGTATCCTTAGGAATCTACCTTAGGGCAATAAATAGAAGTGTAATGTAGTATTTTTACAAAAAATGACCATGACCAACACTCATCATCTCATGCTAGAACACAGTAGTGGCTGCCACACTTTCAGTCTTTTTTCAACAATGGGAATGAATTTTTAGTTATTTTAAAAATAATCTAATGTCCTCAACATAAGCTGATGGTCCATTTTAAAGAGGTTTATGGAGGCTATGGTCTGCTAGCTCAGTTGGTTAGAGCACCAACCCAATAAGCCAAGGTTGTGGGTTTGATCCCCAGACAGAGCACATATAAGAATCAACCAATGAATGCATAAATAAGTGGAACAACAAATCGATGTTTCTCTCTCTCACTAAAATCCATCAATAAAGAAAAAATTTTAATTGACTACTTTAAAAAAATTTAAAAATAAAGAGGTTTATGGAGGTAAGCCAAAGAGAAAAAAAGTCTGGAGCTTAGAGAATCAGGACAAAAGGAATAAAATTTGGGAAAATAGGATCAAGCATGTGTAACTTATGAGAAGAATGGAGTTCCAGAAAAAAAAGAACTGGAGAATCATTGAAATAAATGTAATCCAAGTAAGATAGAAAAGTCCTAATCCCATCAATTTCAAGAAAATACAGAGCAAATGTTTAAAATGTCTACACCAAGCCTACTGAATCCTTACTTCCTAGTTTGGGACTCCCAACATTTGCATTTTTAACAAGAGCCCCAGGTTTCTAATGTGCAACCAGATTTAAGAACTAAAGACTATTACAGTCCCCTAATTTTTCTGGATGAAACTGGGGTGCAGAGAGATGAAAATGACCTGCCTACCAAGTTAATGAGCCTTCTTATTCAGTGTGCTTTTCTCTTTACCTAGTTTTATTCAAGCTAGATTTATTTGAACCCTACCTCTCTAACCTTATTTTTTTACCTTTGACCAATGACAATGCTCTACACTATTTATGGGCATTTCACATCGGCATTTGGAATTGACTGACAAGGATACCTCTAAGGTTTTCCATTTCTACAAATGAATAAATGAATGCCTTAAACTAAACATGATACATAATTCTCTTGGTTATGAAATCAAAGTTGCATTTACTTAGATAGAAAGTAAACTTTGTGCCCAATACCTCACTTGGAAGCCTTACTACAACCTAAGGTCAAAGGCTTTTCCTTTTCCTTACCCTTTCAAACTTGACCAGATTTTTATCTATCTTTGCACCCTCCCTTTCCAATGACAATGAAATCTTACAACAAAAATATTTTCAGATAGCTGAATCAGTCATTACCACTCAATGAGGCAGACATGCCAAAAGCCCTAAAAATTACTAAAAAATTGGTGTCACAATGAATATAAATGGTCATCTTATATCTAAAATTATATTAAAACCCCAAATTGAAGGAGCAATAGCTCAATAGGTAAACTAATGGGATTGTCTCTTATACATTATTTCAAAGAAGAACAGCCCATTATTTAAAAGCAAAAGTTTACTAAAGGTGTAACAAATGTCCTTCAATTCCAAAGTTCTGTACTTCCATAAAAAATGAACATATTAAACTAACACAATATACTGTATCAACTTCTCAGTTTTTATCTTGTGCCTAACTTGTTTCTCATTGAGAATTCTATTTTTTTTAATTGATTTTTTTTTAAGAAAGAGTGAGAAAGGGGGGGAGAGACAGAAACACGTCAATTTGTTGTTCCACTTATTTATGCATTCATTGGGTGCTTCTTGTATGTGCACTGACGAGAGATTAAACCAGCAACCTTGGCATATCGGGAAGACATGCTAGTCAACTGAGCTACCTGGGCTCATTCGGAATTCGTACAACCCATAGTTTACAACCTAAAAATTTGACTTTTTAATCTTTCTTACTCCATCTTTCATCAACCTCACTAGATTTTTATGAATCTTGATAGTTATCTCCAACAGCAAAATTTGGGAATCTTGTATCCCATAGTCTCTCAACCTTGACACTATTGACATTTGAACAGGATAATTCTTTGTTGTGGTAGGCTGTCCTGTGCGTTGTAGGATGTTTAGCAGCATCCCTGGCCTCTAACTACTAGATGCCAGTAGCACTCCTCCCCACTCCAGTCATGATAATCAAAATATCACTGCTAAGTATAGGGGGAGGGCAACATCATCCCCCATTGATAACAGGGCAACACAAAATAAATCAGGTTCTATCTTAAACTCTTGGAAGCACAAAGTATACTGATCCAAGCTTGTAAGGGTGGCAAATATAAATGCCTTTACAAAGAGAAAGAAAATAAACAGTTAAACTCAAGATGAAAAATTAGAACTATAAATCCTTAATAATTGAACAATTCTAAGTACAAACACACAGAAAACAAAAGGCAGTGTCCAAATTATTTTACTGTGCTAAAATTTTGCTTAAGGAACTATTATCCATAATAGGCCAACAGCTTGAACATTACATTGATTATGATCACAGACTGCTTTTAAAAATACAATATGCTACCAAAGGTAGCTCAAGATTAAATTACGTAAGCCCTGGCCGGGTAGCTCAGCTGGTTAGAGCATTGTCCTGATACACCTAGGTTGCAGGTTTGATCCCCGGTCAAGGCATATACAAGGAGCAACCAATGAATGCATAAATAAGTAAAACAACAAATAGATATTTCTCTCTCCTCCCCCCCAAATCAATAAATAAAAATTAAAAATATAAGATTAAATTACCATACATACCTTCAAATTTGGCATTCACCATAACATATAAATGCTCTCGTGGATAGGCATTTAGATCTCTGGACACTGCATGCAAACTAATGGTAGGGTATTCCAGAGAGAATCCCAATCCAGAGCCATCTAACCAAGACAGGCGGCTGAAAAACATGTTTTAAGTAGATTATTTCAAGCAATTAAATCCTAACTTAACCTCCTGAAGTTTATAAAGGTTCGGCTTGGATACTTTTATGCATAATTATGAATAATTTCAAGCTTACTGTTTAGAAATATTCCTAAAATAAGAAAATTCAGCAGCAGAAATTGAATTTCTTTAAGACCAATTCTGTTACGGTCTTTTTTTCTCCAGCTAAAAATTCAGGTAAATAGGAAATGCAATTTTTCTTAATTCACATGTGTGTTCTGTGCCCCTTATGCTTGCTCTTATTTGGAAGGTCTTTAGGCGCCTTCTTTGCTTTTGCAAATCCTCTTGTCCGGTTAAGTCCCAGCTCTTCCTTGAGACTTCCCTCTAATTACTCGAGTCCATAGTGATTTCTTCTTTCTCTAAATTGCACTTATGCCTAGTAATCTACCACTTAGCATTTAACTTTATGATAATGAATCTGATACGTGCCCTGACCAAATGTAACCTACATGACAGGAGAACTTATCATATTCTTTATTTAACATTCTTCAAAACCTCTAGGAGAGTGCTCAGCATGTAAGTATGCAATAAATACTTGGAAATCACTCATTTCTCCACTAATCCTACATTAAATTATATACACATGGAATGGCTATAATCATACTTACCACAAGTTATTCACACCGAAAGACAGACTTTATGAAGACTTTTCATTTATTCTGCAGCTTTAAGAGAAAGCCACAGGTAAGTAAAGTCTAGTTTTAAGCAAGCTTGCAAGTGGTCAGCAAGTGGTCAAATGTGAATACTTTATTGGTGTAGAAAGGAAACATATCACCAAAATGAGTTCTGAGTTAGGGCGGGCTAATTTTCTGGTAATACTTCACCCATCTGGAACTGCACCACTTAGCAGGAAAAAGAGTAGCAAAAATGTCAAGACACAACAAAAGTTAATGCAATCCAGTGGTTACAAAGGGCTGGAGGGAAATAGAGAGTGACTGCTAATAAGTGCTGATTTCTTTTTTTTCAATATATCTTTATTGATTTCAGAGAGAGGAAAGGAGAGGGAGAGAGACAGAAACATCAATGATGAGAGAGTCATCGATCAAGCCCACAACCCGGGCATGTGCCCTGACCGGGAATGGAACCCCCGATCGCCTGGATCCCAGGTGGAAGCTCAACCGCTGAGCCACGCCCGGCTGGGCTAGGTGCTGATTTCTTTAGGGGGAAATGAAAATACTCTAAAACTGATTGTGGTGATGTTTACCCAACTCTGTATATAGACTAAAATCCACTAAATTGTACACTTTAAACGTACAATGAAGAATTGTATGTTACATGAATTACAGTATCTCAATAAAGCTGTTGTTTTAAAAAGAAGTTAATACAATATAGCCCCTGTATCACTTTATTTTCCACATAATTTTAACAAGTCTGGTTGTCTAATCTGTAACCAAGCAAAAACAGATACAGTAAAAGAAGTTAGGACTCCCTTGGGCAGGAACAATGACAGAGCAGCAGTCAGCTCATTCATATTCAATGTAAGGGGAGGCTGAACTCACACTTCAATCCCCCTAAAGGAAATCAATGTCTAACAGCATAATACAAGTATATAACACATGATGACCCTTACTTATCAAAAACTAAGGCAGAATTAAATTGGGGTGAAAACTGTACAACTCTGTAAGTATACTAAAATGTAATGAATTGTACACTTAAAAAACAAAAGCAAAAAAGGAAAATAGATACTATCATTTGGAAAGATTTTCATTGAACATGCTTATTTAAAAAAGAAAACCTGGGAGGCTTAAATTGATCAGACTTAAGGAGCTTAAAGTGGGAAAAGCTCTAGAAATGATTTTTCAGAATAACTCATCCCATTAGTCCCAAGGAAATAGATTTTATTATTCTAATTATATTGTGCATGCTTTATGTGCCTTTCCTATCCACTGCTTTCGTCTCAATGTGGACATGAAATAGTGGTCATGTGTCACAGAAGTTATAGCCAGTCCCTTACTAAAGGAATTATTATTTTAAGCAAATAAACTCCTTTTTCCCACCTCAAAACTACCCTGACATTATCACAAGCCAAAGAGGAGTATTCCAAATTTGGGTGTCCAAAATTTCAACTAACCAGAGCCACAAAATTTTCTTTAATGACTCATTTAGGAGATGGAAAAATTGAAATACTATAAACAGACTCAGTAGCTACCAAATTATAGCCTTTACTTTTAAAAGCATGTCATAATTGCTCTGTAGTTCCCTACTGCTGGCAAGACACAAATGCTGCCCCAACAAAGCATTTCCTACAGAACTCTCATAATCTTATATATGGATATAGATTATATACTCTACAGAAGACAAGCAAGTTCCACTTAAAAGCAACATTTACTCTGTCATTAAGCTCTGATTTTTATTCATACTCTTTTTATATATTCTAGAAGAAATGTCCTCCAAAACCAAGAAATCAAACTAACTATACCCAGTCCCAAAGAAACCATGAGTCACAAAAAAGAAAACCAAGAACTGAAAGCCAATAAGCATGCAGAGGAATGTTTTGCTAGTTTCCAGTGCTTTTTGGACAGCATGATCAGTGTCCTTTATTACTGGAATGGGGTGAAAAAACAGGACAGGAAGGTAAGAGAGGTCTTGAATTTGGGTTGGTTTAATTATTTGGTTTCACATTAACTTTGGATTAAGACATAAAATGCAATACTTCTAAGTTTAAATTACCTTCTGATTTTTTAAAATCCTCACCTGAGGATATGCTTATTGATTTTAAAGAGAGGAAGGGGGAGAGAGAGACATATTGATGTGAGAGAGGAACATCAATTGGCTACCTTCTGTATATGCCCCAACTGGGGATTGAGCCTGCAACCTAGGTATGTGCCCTCACCTGCAACCTTTTGGTGTACAGGACCAACTGAGCCACCCAGCCAGGGCAAAATTAACAATTTTTAATTTCATTACCTATTTTTTTTTACCTGTTTCAAATTACCTATTTTAAGTAACTCAAGCCTCTGTTCCCTTATTTGGATAAAAAGTCAACTTCCTATGAAAGCTAAGCTTTGAAAATAAGCCTAAGAATTCTAAATCTCTCAATATACATCTGAGAAAATATTTTTACCTAAAACCAAATCAGACCCTGTCCCTCTTTGCCTAAAATCCTAAAACAGTTTCTGCAAAACCTAAGGGCCATGGCTCATGAACATGGCTACACACACACACACACAAATAAAATACACATACATACAAACATACATAGATCCTGGCACAATACTGTTTTCTCACCCTTGCCCCTCAGCATCCTATTTCTTCTAATTAGAACATTTCCCCTTATCACCAATCTCATCCCCCTGCCTGTTAATACTCATTTGTCACATCCTCTAGGAAGCTTCCCAGTTTGATGAGAGCATGACTCTCTCAAGACTTGGAAATGCTAGGTAGGAAAGAACAAAAAGGGAAAAGAGACTAACGATGAGTAAAGAGGGATGAAAAGATGTCCAAGGTACTGGCAATGTTCTATTCTTAACCTGCATGGTGGATATACAGGTGTTAGTTTAATTATAATTCTTTAAACCATAGGTATATAGCTTACATTCTTTTTTGTATGTATATTTTACAAAAATATTTTCTTAAAGAGAGGTAAAAGATTTGTTAATAAAAAGTTGAAATAAAAAAATTTTTTAAACAGATAAGAATTTAGAAGGAGTTTGTACTTCCTGAGTGTGGTAACTGTATTGTGGTTACACCGGAGAATGTTCTTGTTCTTGGGAGGAAACACTAAAAAGTATTTACAAGTAAAGTAACAACATGTCTGCAAGTCTCAGCTCAAAAAAAGGAGATAAACATGGCAAAATGTTAACAACTGATAAACCTTTGTGAAGGGTCTATGGATATTAACTAACAAGATTTGCAAGTTTTCTTGAGGTCTGAAATTTTCAAAATGAAAAAACAAGTATAGAACCTTCCAAAAAAGGGGGCCATATTATTGCAAGGGCCAATATACTGAGAGAAAAAGAACTGTGTAAGCAATAGGAATATATCTGTGCTCCACTTTCCATCACTTATATCACTATCAATACCCAACAGATGCTTTTCAGATTTGACTTTGACTATTCCTCTCTCTTCTCAAGTCTCTTCTTCCATGGCCTTCCTCATAATGCAGATGTGTCCCCAAGGTTCTATCCTTGCCCCTCTGCTCTTCTGGGGGTCTAATCTATTCCCATGAGTATATGCTAACACTTACACTAATGATTTCCAAATCCCTCTCTTTAATACCACTCTCTGAAGACACACACATATTTCTATGTCTTACTAATCCCCGCTGTCCAAACCAAACTCACTGCCTGCAGCTCAGCCCAAACTTGTCTTGCCTTTCATCCATTCTTCCTAACTCAGTGACTGGCGAAAAGCCTAAACATTGTTCAATGTCTCCATTTCCCTCTAAACCAAAGGTGTTTACATTCTTTGTGTGTCCTCTTGCAGCAGGCAGAATTCTGGCCCCAGTGACCTTCATCCCTGGGAGTTAAGACTGTGAATATATTGTTACCTGGCAAATGGGAGTTTGTGGATGTAATTAAGGTTACTAATCAGATGACAACAAACATGGAGATTATTCTATACTATATGTGTGGGTCACCTGTAATCACACCAGCTCTTAAAAGCTGAGAATTTCCTCTGGTCAAAATGAGTCAGAAGAGAATGTATCAGATGTTAAGGGCAGTGAGGATTCAAGGTTTCACTGTTGGCCTGATGACTGATGAATGGAACCATTACGTCAAGGAAAACAGGGGACTCAGTTCTACAACCGCCAATATTGAGGATGTGCCTGCCTGTGAAAGTACAAAGTGCTCCAGGTGGCCAAATAAAAGGGCTAATCCCTCTAGGAATGGAAATGGGGAGTCAGAAATGGGACATGGGACATGAAGAGTCAGGCCCCGAGGAATATGACCCCAGCCTGCGTGGGGCTGAAGGTGTTCCTCTGCCCACCCATCCCTGCAGAAAAAAAATACAGCCCTTACCCGAACTTTCACAACGTTCCACAATCTGCTCTAACCCTGCACAACCTGCCCACGGCAACATCTCCCGCACCTGTTCATCGGAAAAGACAGGCAGGCACATCGATGACTCTCACTCAGGGTCTGAAAACTCAAAACCTTAAAACGAGACCGTGAGGGAAGGGCAACGCGCGCACCACGCCTCGGGTTAACAGGGGGGTCAAACGCATCATCAATGAGAAATCCACCTGAAGAAGAGAGAAAAGAAAGCTCCGGAGGGGAGAGTACAAGAACAATCGAGTCTGTCTCCCAGCGGAGGAGTCCCCGAGGCTACGCGGAGCCTGCTCCCGCTCCCAGAAGCCCCCGAGGCCGCGGTCTCGCCGCCGCTCCTTCGCACCAGGCGGCGCGCAGGGGTAGCGCCCGGGAACAAGGGACCCTACCTCTCAGCTATGTAAAGAGTGCCGGTGCCGAGGCCCTTCCCGTTCAGCACCGCCTCGGTATCGGGCTGCTGCTGCCGGAGCCCCTCAGCCGACCCGGGTGGCGGGAAACTTTTGAGGAAGCTCATCGCGGTAGTGAGGCCGAAACACAGACCAAAACGGAGCCGAAACACTGCAAATCCAGCTCCCCGCGGCCCGCTCCGGAAGCGATGGCAAGTACCCCGGAAGAGCAACTCTTCTGCACCGGAACTTGAGCACCACCCACCATAGAGACGAGACGCTCAGCGTCACGGTGGCTTGGCTGCCCTTCTCCTTTACCTCGCCATTTCTAAGGCTCCAGGCTTGGAATAACTGTGGGTTCTCTCCCACATCGTACTTCAGGATCTGCACGGCACCCGTGTGAGAGAGGAAGCACAAGGAATTATAAATTCCTCTTCCTACAAAAAGGTAAACGGAGGCCTGAGACATGGCGTCCATTGCCTGAGGATGCTCGGGAAGTAGAGACCACACTGACCTAGAGGTCAGAGGTCTCCTCGTTGGGTTCAAGGCCCTCTCAACCTGGACCCGCCTACTCCCGGCTAGTTCACGTCTCAGCCGCCACGCCCCAGACATCAGCCTAGGTCCTGACACTGCCCTGGTGCAGGAGCCATGTGTCCCCACGTCTCTAGCAGGCAAACGAAGCCAAAGAGGTAATCAGCTCTGGTGAAGAGCTGGGTTCGTCTGTAAGGAGATGGGATGCTGACGGGAGAGAACCCACCAGATTTGGAACTGTGTTTCTTCGTTAGGCCCTGGAGAGCAAAGTAGTAAGAGCAATAAAAGCCTTAAGCGATGCCCGGCCGGGCGTGGCTCGGAGGTTGAGCATCAACGTAGGATGTGGGAGACCGCGGTTCGATCCCGGTCGGGGCCCATCCCGGGGCTGTGGGCTTGACTCCCAGTCCGGCGCGTGCAGGAGGCGGCGGATCAATGACAACACTCTCATCATTGATGTTTCTATCTCTCCCTCTCTCTGAAATCAATAAAGATATACCTAAAACAACAACAACAACAAAAACCCTTAAGTGATAATAGTAGCTAAAGGTAGCCAAGTGTTTAGGCGCCAGGCGCTGTTCTAGGCGCGCTCGACCGGTATTATTATTTATTTCCTCTTTATGACAACCATATAAGAAAGTTGTTATTGATCCAGAGTTACAGAGCAGAGGCCTGCAGATTTCAATTCAAGAGCAAGAATTTAAGCCCTGGCCCTGTGCTCAGTTGGTTAGAGCCTCGTCCCATACGCCAACACTTATAGTATTTATTTATTTTATAGTATCCATTTTAATGGGTGTGAGGTGGTCTCTCATTTGATTTGGATTTCCCTAATGATTAACGATGTTAAGCATCTTTTCACTTGCTATGGCCATTTGTAGATCATTGGAGAAATGTCTGTTCCAGTCCTTTGCCTATTTTAAAATCAGATTGTTTTGTTTATTGTTGAGTTGTAGTTCTTTATATATTCTGGATATTGATCCCTTACTGAAACAACAATTTGCAAATATTTTCTCCCATTCCACGGATTGCCTTTTCAGAATTTTTTCATTTTGATGTAGTAAAATTTATCTATTTCTTTCTTTTGTTGCTCGTGCTTTTGGTGTTATATCCAAGGAATTATTACCAAATGCAATGTCATGAAGCCTTTTTTCTGTTTTCTTCTAAAGTTTTTGTAGTTTTAAGTCTTTGATTCATTTGAGTTAATTTTTGCATATGGTGTTAGGTAAGGGTCCAATGTCATTTTTTTGCATGTGGATATCTAGTTTTCCCAGTACCATCTGTTGAAAAGATTCTCTTTTTTCCCATTCAATGGCCTTGGTATCCTTGTCAAATTATTTGACTACATATGTGAGGGACAGTGCTTTTGACTACTATAGCTTTGTAGTAAGTTTTGAAATCAGGAAGTGTGAGTCCTCCAATTTTGTTTTTCAAGTGTGTTTTTGCTATTTAGATTTTCTTGAGATTCCATGTGAATATTAGGATTTATTTTTCTATTTCTGCAGAAAACACATTTTAGTGTTGACATTTTAACAATATTGTCATTGGATCCATGAACATGAGATTTCTTTCCATTTATTTGTGTTTTCTTTCATTACTTCCAGCAACACTTTATAGTTTTCAGTGTACAAAGCTTTATGTCTTTGGTTAAGTTTATTCTGAAGTAAAAAATCAGTTGTGTTTCTATGCATTAGCAGTGAATAACCTAAAAATGAAATTAAGAAAAAAAATCCATTTATAATACCATCAAAATAAACTACATAAGAATATATTTACTAAAAAATAACTACATAACATTCTTGAAAAAAATTAAAGAATACCTAAAATAAAAGGACATCTCATGTTCATTGATTGAAAGACTTACTATTGTTAAGAATCCAATATTCCCCCAAATGACCTACATATTAAATACAGTATCTATCAAAATCCAATTGCCTTTTTCACAGAAATTGGCAAAGTGAACCTAAAATTCATATGAAAATTCGAGGTACCCAGAATAGTCAAAATAATAGAAAAAATAATCTTTTTTCTGTTTTTAAAGAGCCAACTTGGAGAACTCAATTACTGATTTCAAAACTTACTACAAAGCTACAGTAATCAAGGCGTAGTACTGGCATAAAGATAGATGTATAGGCTAGTAGAATCAAATTCAGAGTCCAGAAATAAACCAATACGTCTCTGGTCAATTGAGTTTTTGTTACCAGTGAGACGATGAGAAGACCTCAGTTCTTGGCTTCTTGAGGGAAAGATTTCAATCAAGAGACAAAGTGTAGAAAGAAAGAAAGAATTTATTGACCGCAGCAAAAACATACTTAGGACAGTGAAACAAGGAAGAGTATAGAAGAAGCAACAGGAGAGCCCAGGCTGGGCTGCTGTGGCTCACTGGGAAGTCAGAGAAAAGGGGGAAAGGGGGGCCTTGGAGACAGGTTCAGGGGGTTAGCCTGGGAGGAGCTGCCTCTGCCCATTGCTCTCCTGGTTGCAAGTCTCATGGGGTCCCTTGGAGGTTAGGGGACATGTGCCTATGGGGGAAGGACAGGGGGAAGGGAGAGTGTCCTGGGACGTTCATTTTCAGGGATTTTAAAGTCTGGGTGTTTAGGGGAGGTCTTAGGGGAGGATCAGTAGAATATTCATCAGCTTTATGCTGATGTACCAAAATGAGATTTAATATTAATTTGTCTGTCCTTGGGTGTGGTTAGCAAATGGCACTAATTGGATTTGTTATCTGTCTCCCTGAGTAGGGTGATTTAAGCTGTTTACCCTCTGGATGGGAAGAAGTGCAAGCCATTTGCCCTCAAGTGTCCTTGGTTTAGCTTAGGATTTACTAGGTGGCTGCAAGTTGCTGTTTATCTGTCTTAGTTTCCCCAATCCGCTTGTCCTGGAATTTTCCTAGCTTGTTACTATGCTTTAACATTTTGACAAGGATGCCAAGATAATTGAATGGGGAAAAGAATAGTCTTTTCACTAAATGGTGCAGGTACAATTGGATAGCCACACACAAAAAGAATGAATTTGGGTCTCCACCTCACACCACATACAAAAACAACTCAGAATGGATCAAAGACCTACATTTAAGAGCTAAACCTATAAAACTTTTAGAAGGAAACATAAAACATAATTTTTTGTGACAATGAATTAGGTAACGGTTTCCTAGATATAACATCTAAAGCATGAGCAAAGAAAAAAACAGGAATTTGACATCATCAAAATTAAAAGCACATTTATGTCAAAGAACACCATCCAGAAAGTAAAAAGACAACCTGCAGAATTGGAGAAAATATTTGCAAATCATATATTTGTTAAGAGACTGGTATCCAGAATATATAAAAGATTCTTACAACTCAATAAAAAGATGAATAACCAAATTTAAAATGGGCATAGGATTTTTAAGATGTTTATGTAAAGAAGATATACAAGTGGGCAAAAAGCACATGAAAAGATGGTCAACATCATTAATTATCAGGGAAATGCAAATTAAAACCACAATGAAAAAACACCTCATATCCACTAGGATAGCTGTAATAAAAAAGACTGGTAATAGTGTTACTGATGCGGATAAACTGGAACTCTAATGCATTGCTATGGAAATGTAACAAGATTCAGATGCTGTGTAAAATAGTTCAGCAGTTCCTTGAAACAGAGTTACCATATGATCTAGCAATTCCATTCTTAGGTATATACTTAGGAGAATTAAAACACATGTCCACAAAAACTTGTACACAAATGTTTATTATTCATTATAGCCCAAGAGTGGAAACAATTCAAATATCCATCAACTGATGAATGGATAAACAAGATGTGGTAGAGCCGTATAATAGAACATGATTCGCCCATAAAAAGGAATGAAGTACAGATTCATGTTAAAACATGGATGAAATCTGAAAACAAGCTAAATGAAAGAAGTCAGACACAAAAGGCCACATATTGTATATTATATATGAAATGTCCAGAATAGGCAAATCCTTATAGACAGAAAGTAGATTAGTGGTTGCCAGGGTTTGGAGGGAATGGGGGAATGGTGAGTGCTAGTAATATGGGGTTTCTTTTGGGGGTGATAATAGGCTTGTGAATGTACTGAAGACCATTGTGCACTTTAAAATGGTGAATTTTATGGCATGTGAATTACATCTCAATTTTAAAAATCAAGAAGGCTTTTAAATAAAATTTACTAGTACTTTTGTTTTGGAAACCACTTTTTAAGCACATCCAGATTATTAAAAGTGGCTGTGTCACAGAGAGGTCCATCATCCTAATGACCGTTTCCTAGCCTTCTCTCCCCGTCATATGCCTTTCCTAGTTATGGGTCCTTGCCTTTCATCCTTGCCTCTTTGGCACTGTCCAGATTCTCCTTGTAGCATCTCCCAATAAAATTTCAGCCTTGCCTTCTGGATCAGCCTGAATCTGAAGCTGGCCATTTCTTGTCAGCACAGATCAGCTTTCACTCCATTAAGAGAAATTCTGATTCAAAAAGTTCTTTACCTGGTTATCTTTTTCTTTTTTAAAAAATAGTTTTCTACCTGGTTAATATATATATTTTTTAATGTTTTCATAGATTTGAGAGGAAGAGAGAAACATCCATCGACTGCCTCCTGCACGCCCCCTGCTGGAGACTGAGTCCACAACCCAGGCATGTGCCCTGACTGGGAATCAAACCTGCGACCTCTCAGTGCACAGAAGGACGCTCAACCAACTGAATTGCAAGTAGAGATGGACTCCACTGTTGACTGGTAAAAAATGACTTTGCTGTGAGTCTTAACTGTATTCCAAGAGTAAGGAAAATCTATCAGATCAAACATTTGTAGATGAGAACACTCAGGTTGGTAGGGCCCCTTAAAGTCATCTGTTCTAACCCCTTTCTGAATGAGCTCATCTATTATACTCCTGCCAAATGGCACTTCAGCCTAAACCCAAACATCCCCTATTGGTGAGAATTCACTCCTAAGTCATTTATTACTAAAGTTTTTCTGTAGAATAAACAGAAAGCTTTTGCCTTAAGGCTTCTGCCCTCTGATCCAGTTGTGCTTCCACAAGGCCACAAAGAACAAGTCCAAGGCCCCTTTAATGTGTCAGTTCTCCAGAGGCTAACGATAGAAATCAAGAATAGCTCTCTAGTATCTGTAATTCACCTACTTAGCAAATAGCCTTAAAATTATTTGGGGGACAGTGATGCACTTGCAAATTTACTTTCTAGATAGTAAGAAAACAATTCATCTATTTCTGGGGTGATAAAAACTTTCAGCCTTCATTAACTGTTACTGAAAATTCTAAGTTTTCCATGTGCCACAAAGTTTAAAATAAACTAAGTTTGCAAACACATCATGCTAAATACATCAAATTATTTAAATTTTTTATTATGACAATTGACATATATTAAGTGAAAGAAATGACAGAAGTATTATAATAAAACATTTTGAAAGAAAACATTACACAATTAGGCCAACAGCTGTAAAATAGCTTTAGGCCTAGCTTATATAACACCAAGAGTTCTGATCAGACTGTAGTGAGACATTGAACATTGCATTAACAAAAATATTGGCACCAGCCACACATATTTTGGTTGTCACAAGGATTATATTTAAACAACTATGCACTGCAATTCTAACACACTAGGTGTTCATACACTGCAGTTAGCCCCCGAAGCTTTAAGCTACCAGGAATTCCCACATTTTCTACGCTCAGAATTTACTTTGTGCATTATTGGAATCACATTTCCAGTTTTCA